GTAAGTTTACAATAATCTTTAAAATTATTTGTAGTATGTATTATGTATTATTTTTAATAACACAGTCCAATTAAATTAAATTACATTGTATTATGTTTAATAACACAGTCCAACTAAAAAAAAAATGTTTGCTAAAATTTTTTAAATCAATTCACCTTAATTTTATTTATTTTTGGGTGCTGAAATCATAACAAGTTGGCCAAATATTTTTCTTAGCCTAACTTAAAAAGTCTTCTTAAGATGTCCTTATAGAGAACATTAATTCTTTACCTTAATATTCTCTTAAAAAACATTAAGTTAATGACTTAATGTCTTTATTGTGTGTACACTGTTAAAAAAATAGCGCATTTTTTACGGAAAGGTTCCGGCAGCTGCCGATGACCAAACTACCCATTATTTTACGGAAAAACCCATCGTATGTAAACGGAAGTTTCCGTTAACAAACGGATTTTTTCCGTTAAAATTCAATGGGTTTTTTCTGTTAAACAACAGGTAGTTTGGTCATCGGCAGCTGTCGGAACTTTTCTGTAAATAAACAGATACTTCTGTTTAAATTAAACAAGTTTTTCCTGTTAAACAACGGAAAGGCAACTCAGCTGTCAGATAGTTTCCGTAAATAAAAGTAAAACTTGAATTATTTCTAGCAAATCTTATATATATAAAATCAATGGCATGTTTTTGAAAATATTTTCTGAAAACAAATTTTCTTTGATTTACATAAAAAATATTAAAATTTCCGTGATTTACATTTCACTTCAACAGCAAATACACAAATAAATAAAAAATTAGTAAAGTAATAAACACTTTCTAAAAGATTATTAACAATTTTGATAAAGTATATACAAGTAAATAATAATATAATAACATTATTATATACTTATAGATATTATAGATATACTTAAAAACTTATCTTTAAGTAATATATATTTGTTAAATAATAAATATAAATAAACCCAAATACACAAAAATACAATCTTTCTTTTCTTTTCCCTTTCGAGTCAACTCTGAATCTAAAAAAACAACAAAAAAACATAAAGTTTTTGAGTAAGGAAAGATTTTAGTATTTAACAAAGTAATAAATTATAAAAAACACTCATTATATGCAATAGTTACCTTAATGTTGTTACTCAATATGAGTGATTTAACTAAGATCAAGCAACAAACAATTCTGGATAAAGTTAAAAACTCTTTTGAGCAATAAATAAATACCTACAAGAAATAAAAAATTAAATTGAAGTATGATACAAATAGAGGTTTTGAAGTGGAATATAACCAATCTCAGTTTGCTTTTCATTGTAATGGTGATAACCAAATTTACTGTTAATGCCAATGTTGGCGCCATTTTTGTTAAATAAATAAAAATCTTTACAACTTCTTTAAAATCAAATTCCAATAATTAATTACTAAAATTACTAACAAAATAACTCAACAATTTAACAATAAAACCTAAATTTTCTTTTCTATAATCAAAACTTATCAAATTATTATTTTTATTTAATATAAAACCATTTCAAAAATAGAATTTAAAATTTGATAATAAAGACACCTACTTAGGTCTAAATTTTAGCAAGCTAAAAAAATTATAAAACATAACTATAACATAACAGAAAATTAAAAATTTATAAATGAAATAATTTTTACTTATCTGGTCCATTGTCATTACTAATAAAATAAATATATAATCAATCAAAAACCTTTTATCATTTTTAAAAAGTGATATTTTTTTTGTTTATGCTTAAGTTAAAAACCAAAGTCAATACCTATCTTGGATCCTTTTTTTTTGTGTGTGTGCAGAATATCTGCCTTGATAGACTATAATAAAATATATTTAAAAAGTATAATTATGGAAATATATCTTATAATTTTGGAAAAAATATTTTTCTTTTCTTTTTATTCTAAATATAAATAATGAACTTAATGATTAACTATAATACTCATAACTAACTTTTTAATTCTTACACCTTTGAGTGCTTTTTTATCTAAATATAAACAAATATGAACACAAAAATGATATAAATATTTTATAATAGACATTTTATTAATTAATTCATATACAGTCTTGTTTAAACAATATTTAATGATATTATTTATAATTTAATCACATATTTAAAGTAGTTAGCAAAAAATAAAAGATTTATGTAAACAACGCATTTTAACAAAAAAAAATTTAAAGAAAGTATTAATGTTGGTACAACTTGGATATTTGTATAGAATGATTAGGAAATTTTTAGAAAAGGGATCAATCAAAGCTTTAATAACCACCATTAGTAGAATTAAAAATAACGTGGTGAGAATTAAAAGAAAAGATGATTTAAATGGCAAAAAAATTGAACATTGGCATTGACCATTAAAGCTAAATTTATGTTAACTTTTTCAGATGAAAAACTTGTTAATAAAAAGACAATTATTTCTGAGTAATAAAAAAACAATTATTTCTGAGTTATCTAAAAAAGTTTAAGATATCGAGAAAGTCAATTAAATGTTACATTGATAAAATGTT